AGGCCCACGGCAGCTGCGGTGCTTGCCCAGGTCCCACAGCAGAACTGGACGCAGAGCTGGTGCTGGCGGTGCCCCGCTGGCACGTCCAGGGCGGCGGCTGGGAGACGCTGAGCCTCCGCCCCTGTGGGCAGAGCACACGCTGCCCCAGGCACCTCTCGGGCAGAGACCCAGGGCTGCAGACCTGGCCGTGGGTCCTAACTCCCCCAGCCCGGAGCCGGGGTCTGCCTTTTCTCACAAAGCCTCAGCCCACATGAACGCACAGCGAGGAACCATGCCAACAGCTCAGGCAGGAGAATGCCCAGTGAAGGGGCACGGGTGCTTCCGGGGACACCTGCACTGTCTCCCCATTTTTTCCACTGGCATCCTCCCCCATCTCTCTAGTCTTCCCTAAAAAGGGTGGTGCAGACTATGGCCTCCATGTGGATTCTGACCATCTGGGTTCGAGCCCGAGCACAGCCACTTTTGTGTGTGTCTTTAATAAATTTTATCATATATAGTTGAAGTTTGCTATTCAACCCTGGACAAGTGTCACCACCTCTCTGGGCCTCAGGTTCCCCGTCCGTATTGCTGGGTTATGACAGTACAGCCTTTTGGCGTTGCTTTGCGTCAGCATGCAAACCTCAGCACACTGCCTGACACTCCGCGATAGCTCAGAAGACGTCCCGCCACTCTCTGTAAGCTCTGAATCCAGCCAAGCCACTAGAGTCAGAGGGCCGCGACCCTGAAGCTGCCTGCAAGCCTTCTCCGTCACTGTCCCTCCCGTCAGAACCCAGCTTGGGCTTCCATCCTCTGGTACCCACATCACAGGCCACGGCTGTTATTCCTGGCCTCCGACGCAGAGTGGCAAATCTACAGTCCCAGGCTACTTCTCCCTTTTCAGTTGGGGTTCCAGGAGGTTTGGAATCCAGCCCATCTAATGTCGCCGCTTCTTACCAAGGTGACTTTGGCTTGCAAATTTCCCTTCCCAAGCCTCGGTTTCCTCATCTGCAGAGTGGAGGCAACACAGAGACTCCCCGCTGCGCTTGTGAGCATTCCCCAAGACCACAGCCACTTAATCAGGGCCTCGCTGGCAAGTCCTCAGTGAGCTCAGCATAGGGGCCAACACATGGAGTAGTGGTTAAGGTACTGGACTCCCACATGGCCAAACGTGGTTCGAGTACTGGACCCAGCAGCTTGAAACACACTGTGTACATGTGCATGCGTATGTGCCCAAAATCCTGAGAGAAGAATGGAGGAGGAGGGATTGCAGCATGGCCATCCCTTCACGAGTGATTTCCCACTCCTCTCTCTCTGGTGAGTGTACATGCACTATAGCAAAAATCTCTCCTTAAAAAAAAAAAGAGCTCAGCACTAAATTACCACGTGACCCAACAATTCCACTCCTGGGTAGAGCCCCAAGAGAACTGAAAACAGACCTCTGAATAGGAAGTGCACACGGTACTCACAACAGCCAATAACGGAAACAACTCCAATGGCCACCAGCTGGCGAATGGGCAAACAAAATGCGGCATATTCATGCAATGGGGTTTTTAAAATAATTGTTTAGGGACCAGCAGGTGGCATGATGGTTAAGGCGCTGGACTCCCACATGGCCGACTGCAGTTTGAGTGAGACCTGGCAGCTTGCTTTCTCACCTTCCTTCTCTCTCTTTCTCTGTGTCTCTCTGTGGTGAGCACATGTGCACTATAGCAAATTTTTAAAAATAGTAATAAATAAAATTAAACAAATCATTCTATAAACCTTGTTTTAATTATCAAAGATAGGTGCACTGGCTAGAGAGAGCAGAGAGACAGAGAGAGAGAAAGCACCCCCCAATGGGACACAGTCATGCCACAATCCCTTCTCCATTTCTCCATCCTGCCAGGGTCTGGGGCCCACACACGGGTCCAGCATGTTTTTCTTTTCTTTTTTTTGGAGAGGTTTTCGCTATAGGGCGCGTGCACTCATCAGACAGACAGAGAGAGACGGAGAGACAGAAAGCAAGAAATCACCCCTCAGGGGGGATGACCACGCTGCAATCCCTTCTCCTCCATTCTCCTCTCAGGATCTTGGGCACGCATACACACGTGCCCTGCGTGAGTTTTAAGACACCGGGTCTGGGACGCAAACCACGGTCGACTACGTGGGAGTCCAGTGACGTAGCCCTTATGCTAACTGCTGGTCCCCGCTCCAGTGTGTTTTTCAAGCCACCAGGGCCAGAATTAAACTGTGGTCGGCTATGTGGGTTCCAGCTCCCTTAACCACTGCACCACAAGGTCATTCCATAGAATGGAATGTTATTCAGCAGTAAAGAAGAACCGTGGACACCTCCATGCTACGTACACACAACATGCATGAACTTGCCATGCATGAACAGGCCACATATTGCATGATTCTATCACAATGAGATACCGGGAAGGGGAAAAGCCACAGAGATGGAGCTGGATTGGGGAGTACCCTAAGCTGGCGGGGAGGGGGGGAGTGGGAGGGATGTTTCCTGAGCAAGGGCTCCTTTGGCAGATAGCAGAGACCTGGACCGACTGTGGAGGGGGCTGCACGCCGGGAGGGTTACCACGGCGCGTCTCACATGCTCGGTGCGATCCCGGGGGCCCCGACTGCAGTCACGTCAGCCCTGGTGAGCCCAGGCCGTGAGCTCTAGTGTTGGCTTCGGAGGCCTTCGCCTATTCAAAACTACGATCCAATGGGACCAGCAGTTGGCATAATGGCTATGTCGCTGGACTCCCATGTAGTTGACCGCGGTTCAAGTCCCGGACCCGGTGGCTTAAACTCACGCCCGGCGCATGTGGTGTGTGCCCAAGATCCCGAGAGGAGAATGGAGGAGAAGGCATTGCGGCGTGGCCATCCCCCCTGGGGGGTGATTTCTCGCTTTCTGTCTCTCTGTGTCTGTCTGGCTGGCTGGCAAGCGCACATGCCCTATAGCAAAAACAAACAAACAAACAAAAAAACAAAACTACAACCCGAAAGCACAGCACCTGTTTTCCCCGCCATCCTGCAATGGGACCCATGCTCGAGGCCTCGTGGCCACATTTCAGCACCATGTGGGGGCCGACTGGTAACTCCACTCAGCTGACGTAACTGCGGGAGAGAGGAAGAACCTATCCCCTCACACCAGACAGTCTGTGAGGCCACACAGTGAGGGTTAAGGGACAGACTAGAGCAAGGGCTGGGTCAGCCAGGGACATCAGGGAAGGCTCCTCGGAAGAGGTGACACAGTGTGAAGGAGTGAGAGGTCCCAAGTGGATCTCTATCTGTGACCTGCACAGCCTGCCCAATGCGCCCACCCAGCCCCCTCCCCTAGGCTCCCACTGCATCCCAACCACACCGCTCCCGCCCCCCCAGCCTGCTCTGTCCCGGACCTTTGCACCTGCTAGGCACGTTAGCAGGGGCTCCTTCTTGCCATGTACTCTGCTTGACTTCCACCTCCTCAGGGAGGCCATCTTGGACTCCTCTGCCTCAAGGGGCCTGACAGTCACATCTGTCACCCTCTCGCTTTCTTTCTTTTAAACATTTTTAAAAGAATTATTTTCTTTAACATTATTTATTTTGAAGTTGACCAGAGAGAGACAAAGAGAGAGAAAGCAAGAAAGCAAGCTGACAGGTCTGGGACTCGAACCACAGTCGGCTGTGGGAGTCCAGCACCCTTAATCACCATGCCACCTGCTGCCCCCCCCTTTCTTTTTTAAAGAATTATTTATTTAATTTCATTTATTATCATTATTATTTTTAATTTGTTACAAGGCAAGTGCGGTCATCAGAGAGAGACACGGACAGAGAGAGGAAGTGAGAAAGCAAGCCACCAGGTCTGGGACTCGAACCATGGTCAGCCATGTGGGGGTCCACTGCCTTAACGACCAAGCCAACCGCTGGCCCTTCCTGATTTACTTCTGAGTACTTTCCCCTCCCTAAATTATCTTCCTTAGCATCTGTCATTTCCCCGCTAGACCATCAGATCCACAAGAGCCAGGCTTCAGTCTGCTGTCCTTTAGTGGATCCCCTGGGCCCCGAGCCTAGAACAGCACCTAGCACATAGTAGGTGCTCAAGAAATATCTGCAGAAATAAAGAAATATCAGCAGATATGTGAGTGCAGGAAAGAATGCTTCTTTGTAGAGAGGATGGGGCTTAGGTCCAGAGAGGGGCAGAGGCTTCCCCAAGAACACACTGGCGCCCTTGGGAGAGAGGGGGACCCAGGAGCCTCTCTCAGTCCAGGCCCTACTCGGGCCGTCCAGGAGGCCCTACTGCTTGACCAGAGCCAGGGGCAGGCAGGAAGCCTCGTGGCCGAGGCAGCTCCGGGGACCAACGCTCATCAGTCACCCCTCTGCCCGCACTGCATGGGGCTCTGCCCGCCTGCCTCCCCAGACATTCCAGGTATGCCAGCCTCCAGCCCTGGGGACCCACAGGGACTTTCCCCACAGGTGAGGGCTGGGGCTACGGCAGGGGGAGAGTGCCAGGTGACTGCCAGGATGGCCCTGTGTTCCCGAAAACGCCATCCAGGAAGTGAGCAGGGCTGAGAGTGTCACTGGGGCTCCACCTGGCACGCAGTAGGGACACCTGCCTGAGGGATCCTGGGCAGGTGGGTGCACTCTCCCTGCCTCTGATTCCTCGTGGGCACGCAGGCTGTGTGAGAAGGAAACGGGGCAGCGGGCGCAAACCCGCACACAGGGCCTGCCCCAGGGTGGCGTGATACACGACACTAACAGCTACGGGATGTAATTATGCTCACGAAATGGGCCGCGTACCTGAAATCCCACGCGACCAGGCCCTCTCGGGTCTTTGTTGTTGACCTCGTCCTTTTTGTTCTTGCTCACTCCGGCAACAGCAGTCTGGCACAGAAGATGTCCAGTCCTGTCCGCTGAGTGGATGGACTAACAGTCCTAGCGGGAGGAGTACACGACCGAGTAAGTGACCAGGCCCTTTGGTACAGGCACTGTCAGTGTGCTTGGTGCTGTTTTCTCACTTACGGCCCAAAGTTCCTGCTTCCAAGAACACTCTCCCCCCTATTTCAGGATCAGGACAGCCCTCGGGGAGAGCTGAGGATAGTGAGGGAAATGACTCACCCACGGCCCTCCAGGCCTGTGTCTGCGGCTGAGGCCTGTCCACCTTTGCAGACAGCTCCTGCCCCCACACGGTGATAAAAGCAGCCCCAGCTTTCTGTACATGGGCCTTGATGTCTCCCTCTTCTCTTTTGTTCTTAAGTTTGCTTTAGGATGCATGTGCTCACCAGAGAGAGACAGAGACAGGGACAGAGACAAAGAGAGGGAAAGTGAGAAAGCACCCCATAGGAGGGTGGCCACACTTCAATCACTTCTCCACTCTCTCAAGATTTTGGGCACACACATACACCTGGTGTGTTTTGCAAGCCACTGGGTCCAGGACTTGAACCACACAGTTGGCCCTGTGGAAACCAGCGGTCTTAACCGCCATGCCACCGGCTCACCTCCCTCCCTTTTAAGTTTATTGATTTATTTCTCCATGCCAGTGAGAGAGAGAGATAAATAGAGAGGGACAGAAAGACACATGAGGGGCACCCTAACAATGCTGCTGGCGGGTCACAGGCATGTGCATGCCTTGTGTACTCAGGAGGCCTCTGGCCTTGAACCTGGTACCTTCCCGTGCGGGTCAGCCTCACAGAACGTAGCGTTAACTGCGGTACCGCTCGCTGTCCAGTCTCCAAGCTGGGGCAGCTGCCAGTGGAGAAACCGAGGTACTGAGCAGCAGCGCAGCAGCGTGACCCGCCCCGAGCTGATGGGGGGGTGGGGGCCTGGTTGGCGGATCCTCATCCTGCCCCCCACCATCTGCGCAGGCAGAGCCCCAGGCTCCGCCCACAACGGGCGGGCCGCATGCCCCTCCCCTCCGGGCCAGGACCCAGTGAAGCGTTTCTCAGCCTGAGCCAAATCACGGCGGAAATTCCTCCCCTGGCAGCCTCCCCGCAGTCCGGGCTCCACCGGGAACGACCCCCAGGCCTGCTCACCTCCTGGCAGCAGATGTGGAAACCAGGCTGGGCTCTGAGCTGGCAGACAGTGGGCAGCAGGCGGGGCTGGCGCCAGACACGCTCCACACAGCCGCGCAGCGCTTCGGCCATCAACACGCTTCCTTTCCTCGCGATGCTCTGCAAGGCCCACCGGGTGCCGCACCACGTGCTGGGCTCTGGGTTCACGCCCAGGGACCACACGCTGCGTGATCTGGGGCGGCGGGGCTGTGGGCGGGTCCCAGGGTCGGACCAACTGACGTGTCTCTCTGTCTCTTGCTCATGGAAGTAATAAGTAAAAACATATATATTATCTGCCCCACGTTTTGGGGATAGAAAGAAATCACAGAACTGACTGAGTCAACTCTCTTCAACTGGCAGTCAATCCGTTCATTCAATCATTCAACAAATCTTTGTTAATATCACATGTCAAACAGTGAGTAACACAAACTAAAACCTTACTTACCGTACTCAGAAGAGCACAGATGTGGAGCCAGATACCTGGGTTTGAGTCTCAGATCTGACACCTACCCGCTGTGTGACCTTGAACAAGTACCTAGACCACTCTGAGCCTCAGGGTTCTTTTTCTTTTTTAGAGATTTTTACTATAGGGCACATGTGCTCACTGGGGACATAGAAGACAGAGAGAGAGAGTGAGAAATCACTCCAGGATGGCCACACTGTAATCCTTTCTCCTCTATTCTGGGCACGCACTCGCATATACCCGGCGTGAATTCTAAGCCACCAGGTCCAGGATTCAAACCGTAGTAGACTATGTGGGAGTCCAGCAAAGTAACCACTATGCCATCTGCTGGTCCTGAGCCTCAGTTTTATCTTCTGAAAAATTAACAACAGTAACAGCATTTACGTTAAGGGGTGTGTGAGGATCTAATATATTGTTCCAAGCCAAGGGCTGAATACAGAGGCTGGTAGACACCAAGTTCACCACACAAGAGTATTTTTCTTTTTAATCTCCATTTCTCGGATGAGTAAACTGAGTCTCAGAGGAATTACATCACCTCCCAGGGAGAAAGGCTAGTTGAGTTGGAACTTGGGAGTCTAAATGCCGGAGTGACTGAGGACCCCTCCTTCAGGGCTCCCACCCTTCATTCCTTCCAGCTCAGAGGGGTTCAGCTCCCCTGCCCCAGCCACAACCTTTAACCTTGGTCTTCAGGCCCTGCAAGACCCGAGACACCCTCTGGGCCAGTCAGGGCAAAAATCCTAAGAGAATGAAGGAGAAAGGATTGCAGAGTGGCCCTCCCAGCTGGGAGGGCGCTGTCTCACTTTCCCTCTGTCTCTTTCTGGCAAGCGCGTGCACCCTATAGCAAATTAAAGAAGAAAAGATCTGAGACACCGGTGCAGAGTCCCAAGGACCACCTAGGTCTGACTCTCCACTGGGCTCAGAACCTGTTGGGTTAGGGCCCCAGACCTGCGTTTCAGGGGTGGCCAGTGGCTGCCACATGGGGGCCGAACAGCCAGCTGGGCCTGCAACAGGGCCGAGGTACCAGACACTGCAGGCACAGCGAGGCCAGAGCAGGACTGAGTATGAGTATGCTGGGGGCTCTGCTTTATTTCAGATGGAAGAAAAGTGGGGGAGGGGGAAGAAAGGAGGGAGGGAAGGAAGAAGGGAGGAGGGTGAGCAGGCCACAGAAGGAGAGAAGGGGGGGAGGGAGAGGGGGAGTGCCGGGAGAAAGAGCAGGGGGGGAGAGAGCGAAAGGAAAGAATTCCCGTCTGTCCCAGGCTTGCCCATGCGTCTGCAGCCAGACCACAGGGCTCTCATTTTCCCCCTGATTTTTCTGCCAGAGGCAGGAAACGTTCTCCCTTGGGAAGCTCAGAAATAGCTGAGCTCAAAAACGAGGCTGGGTGAGGAGGATTCCAGACTAGAGGAGGGATTTACACCAAAGGGCTCTTTAGAGTCTAGAGGTTCAGGGCATAGCTGCTGGCGCCAGTCGGCCTGGGTTCAAATCCCAGCTCTGCCCCTCCTGGAGCAGACTGGCCTCAGTTTCTCGCCCACAGGTGTCAATAATGGTGCAGGCACAGCTCCTTCTAAGTGTTCAAACCTTATCATCAGGACTTCCTCTTCCTCTTCGCTAGCTGTCCTCACTGAGGCAAGCCGGGCCCTACAGCCCAGGCTTCCACCCAACCAGCCCAGCAACCACTGCAGAAAGGAAGGGCCTCGGTCCTCATGGGTCCAGCTAAAATCCCAGGTCTCACTCTCATTGGCTGAGAAGATGCACTGCTCCAATTGGCCAGTCCTGGATCACATGGCCCACCCCTAAAGATGGAGTTGGCCCTGCCCCAAAGCCTTGGAAGAGGCAGAGCTGGGAGTGACAGCTGGGCAGAAATTAGCAGGCCCCTCAAGGAGGGACACAAGGGACAAGAACAGGCAGGAGGCCAGCCGAGCACGTGGAGCACCAAATGCTGAAGGTCTGGGATCTTAAGTCACCCACAGTGTTCCCTGGGAGGCAGGAAACTGAGGCTCGGAGGTGAAGAGCCTACGCCAGGCTCCCAGAAGCAGGGCCAGATGCCCCTGGCCAGGCTGGCTTCCCAGCAACCTCGACCTCCATCCAGGGCTCTGTCTCCAGAGGTGGGCCAGCCCAGTGGAGCCAGCCCCTGGCTCACCTGGGTTGGGGTGGGGCTGGGCCAGACTTCCTGCAAGGCAGTGAGGAGGGTGGCTCTGGGCACAGGTAGCCTGACCTTGAGCCCAGCTCTGCCCCTTAGACCCTCTCCAGCCCTCTCCCTCTTGGGGGACACAGAGAAGCTTCCAGGCGCTCACGCTGGCCCCCAGCTGGTCAGGGAGCAGCTGAGGCCACAGCCCTGGGGCCTCCAGACCTTGGGAGGGAGGGCTGGGGGAAGACCCCCCCCCACCAAGAACTCCTTTAACCTTCACCCCCACCTGGAGGGAGGAGCTATTATTATCACCTCTATTTCACAGAGGAGAAAGGGTCAGATCTGAGCCAGGGTAGACATGACACGCAGGACATGACACACAGGATGTCACAGTCAGGAAGTGGCAGGACAGGGTTCCGAACCCTAGCCAATCTGGAGTTGCCATCCTACCCTAAGTCGGTCACATGCCCAAACCATCTAGAACCCCATCCCCCAATAGCCACCCTGTCGTGACTGCTGGGGAAACTGAGGCCCAGAGTAAGCACGGGCAAGCCTAAGGCCGCATAGCCTGGGGTTAGTTATGGCTTCTCGGGCAGCGTCCCGCCCCATCGGCACCTCCCGGGTGCTCCCCCACACACAGCACACTCGGGGCCGGGGCCGCCTCCACGCTGGCTCCACGCTGGCTGCAGGACATTTGTTACTGTGTCAGTTCCAGCTCTCGCCCTGGTGGGGCCGGCAGGCAGGGGGCTTCCTGGCGGCTGGGAAGGGAGGAATGCGCCCCCGCCCCCAGCCCCATATGGCCTCCATCCCGGCCCATCTGCTTCCCATTGCCCGGCACGGCACTGCGGGGCTGCCGGAGCCCGCCCGCAGGGGTGTGAAGTTTATGTGGCCAGGCTGGAGCCGGCGGTGACAGGGCCACACACGCTCACACAGACACAGCGGACACCCCCCACCAACCCTGGTGCTGCATGCGCACACACATGCATGCACACATGCACACACACACACCAATCCACTCCCAATGTGCTTCTAAATGCGCCCAAGTTCTCATATCCCCCCAACACCAGAGACCCCCACCTCGAACGGACACGCTCCAGAGCCCTCCATCTCAGACACGGACGCTCACCAGCAGGCTCCACATCAAACCCTCACACACGCACACCCCAGTCCGCTCCCACTCGCGAGTATACACACAGCTCGTCGCTGGCCGCCTCCCCACAGTTGCCCCTGTACTCACGCCTGCACTACAGTCCTCTGCCCCCGCAAGCCCCCGCAAGCTCACCCACATGACACAACACAAAACAGTGACACACAGTCCCAGTCTCAGCGAGGCCATGGGAGGGTGGAAGGCAGGGGCTTCCC